GCTTCTGAATTAATAAATTTATTATCATTCATCAAAAAAAGAAAAGAACACATGTTTTGGGCACATTTGTAATTCTGTCCCGAGTCAGCTTACTAAAGCTGATTTCTTTCACAACTTCTTGTTGTATCCTAATGTTTTCTAATTAATGAAATCTTTTTAAAGTTATTGATCAAAAAAAAAAAAAACTCAGGTTGTAGGTGTGCAGAACAGAAACAAATATCAAATTAAAAGAAGAGAACTCCCTATTTGCTAATGTTGTTCATTCATTCTTTGCAATAAAATATCTTCTTAAAAGGCAATGAAAGTTATAAAATCATTATTTTTTATGTGAGAAATAAGAATTTCAGACCCTATCATAGACTTGTTCGGGCTTGCCTCGAGGGGTGTGGTACAAAGGTGATTCATAGAATCAAGAATGCAATATGTTTTACATCACATTAGCTACTTGGAGCAATGCAATTAAGGAGAAAAAAAGATTGTGGGTTTTACATGCTTGAAAATGCTTTATATGTTTGCTTTTATTTTTAAATTTTCATTTGAATACGCTTTACATGTTATGTTTATGTACTTTAATTTTAAATAATAGGTTTTTTAAAACATTTATTTTAAAATTTAAGTTTATATTTTTTATTAACACTATGTTTAATATTTTTTGATTTTTTTTTGAATTTTCTGACTTTTTTTTTGATTTTTAGTTTTTTTTTTTGTAATTTTGCGCCTTTCTTAGAAAGGTGCGCGCCTCACTTTGCGCCTTGCGCCTCAGGCGCAAATTGGCCCTTGCGCTTTTAAAACACTGAGAGAAACTGACCTACTTGCAAGGAGGTTTAACTCAGTTTGGATGGGTAAAAAGGACAACAAATGGTTTGGTGGATGTCCTAACTAAACAAGGAGCATATAGACTTACTTTATTGTGCTTCCGGTGATGGTTTCCGGTGGTTTGGTGGTCTGAGACTGGCATAGCGGTCCAACTCCAGCAGCGACGAGCAGTGGTAGGGTCAAGAGTTTTATCGGAGGGTGGTCACACGTGACCACCTGTTCACACAAAAACGAAAGCACTATTTTGCCAAAACCACAAAGTATAAAAAGCTGACTTCGTGCTTTTGGGGGTTTTCGTACTTTTGAAAAGTATGAAAGCAGAAGCATAAAGTATACAATACAAACCCTATATCGTACTTTTCATACTTTTGTACTTTTGAAAGTACAAAAGTACTTTATAAAAGTCTATCCAAACAGGGCCTAATGCTGATCAACAAGGGGTTTCGAGGCAGCAACTCTTTTGGGCTACTATGTAATTGGTTCTAGATTAGGGTGGACAGTCCTATTAGTTGAATGTATTAACTTCATGTTATCATTTTAATAAAATTCCTTTCTGCTGATAAAAAAGGATGATTTGTGTTATGGAAATACAGAGTAATATTATGATAATCTTTTAATTGTATATAAGGATGAGGATTAGGTAGCTGACGCTAGCCTAAGTCTTGTAATTATTCTATACATATTTACTTTTTAATCAATGAATATACTTTTACTGTTACCTATCCAAAAACTGTTTAAAATATGAAATATAAAATATAAAAAAATGATGTACATCATTGCGCATGAGATATTCTTAAAACCATACATAAATAAATAGTTTATAGTCATGCTAACAAGTTAATCGGAATGCTTCATTGCTTTGACTGAAATCATGTATTTTATAGTATGGGTGTAATATTTTTGATTTCTGACTATCAAAATGTACTGAAAATTGACCAAAAGTCTTGTGAATTTGACCTAAACTTTGACCATGTTTCACTTTAGTTACCATTGGAAGTGGGAACATTTCGATGGAACAATTTGATTTCAGTGGAAGTATAAAATCATGTTCATAGCATATTCATAGCATGTATATTTTACTGTACCATAACTTGTTCCATGCAGGGATTTATCACTGATAATGAGAGGGCATTAGAGGAACTTTTTGGGGAAAATGTGGGGAATTCTCGCATATATAATGATTGCTTGAAGACAATGGCCACTCGCATTGCTACAGTGTTTGCCTCATTGAGGGTATGTACTGAATGACTTCTCTTAGTTGATTTGCAATGAATAGTGCCTGTTGAATATTTAAGTTTCACTTGTTCATTGTTCTATTACTTTCTTTATTGCATTATGAAAATAAATGAACATATGGTGGGAAGTGGTAAGTTTACGGTATAGATGGTCAAATATATGATGTATCTTGTTTTCAAATTACATTTGAATTAAAGTGTCACTTTTCTTATTATTCACCTTCTACTCTACCCAAATTTTATTAAATGGGGTTGGCTATATGAATCCTGTTTTTCCATTCCAATCTGATCAGTGGCATATCAATTGTTAAATTATGAGCCCTTAAATCATTTCTTACTACTTGAAGTTTAAAATTATGAGCTTGTTATGAATTGAAGTTTCTAGTTCTTTCTTGTTTTGTATTTGAAAGTTTAATGCTGTGTTCACATATCTCCAGGAGCTTCCATTTGTTCGATACCGTGCTGCCAAGTCCCTTGATGCATCCATAGAAACAACATTTCATGATTTAGTTCCTACGAAACTTGCCGCTTCTGTTTGGAATTGCCTTAGTAGACACAAAACTACTATTCCCAACTTCCCCCAGACAGAAACATGTGAATTGCTTATCCTTGACAGATCTGTGGATCAGGTATGTGTGTTCTTGTTACAAGAAGTTGCTTACTCAATTCTCAATCAATTTCATGAAGAATTGATTATCTTGATTTCATGTATATAGATTGCACCTGTCATACATGAATGGACATATGATGCCATGTGCCATGATTTGCTTTCTATGGATGGAAATAAATATGTGCATGAGGTACACCTTCCTTTTCTGAGTTTCTTTGCAATTTCTTGCTGTTGACATTTTCCCCTTTTCCACAGCTTTTGTCAGGATGTTAACATGTAATACACACATAATATAGGTTCCAAGCAAAACAGGTGGTCCCCCAGAGAAAAAGGAGGTTCTTTTGGAGGATCATGACCCTATCTGGCTTGAGCTACGCCATGCACATATAGCAGATGTATGTTTAAAGGTTCTAGAGTAATTTATTTATTTTGATACACTATTGGTATTGATGTTTATGCTCTTTAATCTTTAACTGGTATGCCAGGCTAGTGAGAGATTACATGAGAAGATGACAAGCTTTATAGCAAAGAATAAAGCTGCACAAATCAAACATGGATCAAGGTTGTAATCTTTTTCTCTTTTTGCTTTTTCGTAAGAATTTTCTATTTGTATGAAAATCTCTTTCCCATCATACAAGTAAACGCCCATCTAACATCATACAAGTAAACACGATCAGGTTTGATTTCAATTTTATTTTGCCGCAATATTCGGTTTCTTTTGAAAAAAATGTTGTGATACTGATAAAAATATCATCATTTCCCATTTTAGTTTTTAAGAACATTTCCAATTAAAATTTCTTTTATTTATTTTAAAATATTGTCAGGCTTTGAAAGTTATGTCATTAATTTTCAGTGCTTATAATAACACAAGAAAATCTAGAAGATGATAAAAATTTTCATCTCTTTGATTTGAATATGCATGAGATTTTGCAAATGGCTTGTTGAGTATTTGACTCTTACATCTATTATAGGCAATAAATAAGTAATATTTTGGATTTTCTTTGGATAATCATTCATTTGCTCTGTTGATTATTTAAATTCGATCTGTATGTCATCATTTTCTTTGGGTTTTACTTTGCTTCAAGCTTTATCTGCATGCGAAAAACAAAATAAGGCAAAAGCTGAAACAAAGGCTCCATTCGTTTGCAGTGCAATTTTATTTGCATTAGCACATACATGTGTGAAAGTGAAAATTAGAAGAATGCAAGTTCTTATCCACAAACAAAACAAGGCAAAAGCTGAAACAAAAATAAATCAGAACTTGCATTCCCATGGTTTTGCAGTGCAATTTTATTTCCATGGACTTAGTTGGCTTTAAGTGGGCTACCATTACCGGCCCATTAGAATTGGGCTCCAAATGAAATGTCGACCCACTTGTATTTTCCTTGCCTATAACGTGATTTTTTAACAGATCACGACCCCCTGTTTTAACAGTTGAACCCTATACCTTGTCTTTTTGTCCGGTCTGAGGTCACCAGTTCACCTCCCCCACTTTAACCGTTTGGGAGACTTTGTCTTTTTTCCTCTGAAACCACCTGCGCATAGGATCTGCTATTTCCCAGGGGTTTTCCTTGCTTTCTATGCCTTTGACCTTCCAGCTGCCCCAATTCTTTTTGGCTTCCTAGAGTTTGTTGGCCCTTTTTAGTGAAACATTCCATCCCATTTGAACCAACCAATCTCAGGTCTTCACGTAAAGCTTCTTCTTCCTCCTCTCGTCCTTCCGTGCAAGGCTCCTTCCACATCCCTGCTTCAGTGGAGGAAGCTAACCAAACAGACACAAAGCTCCCCTCTGATCGTAGCTTTATTTTCCGTGGGATATCTTCAGGCTTCACACCACTTGGCCAAGCTGCTGCAGAGTGAAGATCACCCAGAATGTTCCTTCTAAGTGACCTCCGCACATTAAGGCAATATCCTCTGCCACCTCTTGTTTCCACTGGTGAAATGGCAAGCCTATTACACGCACCACATCATCACCATCTTCGACAAAGTGATCCTTGGAGTTAGATGCTGGACTCCATTTGAAAACTGTGAAGGATCCGATCTCAGACTGAACATTGAGAGCTGAGATTTCCAGTTCATTTTCCATTGGGTCTAAGAGAACCTTACATTTGTCAAATGGAGTTACTATGAACACTCTCTTCAACTGATCTGTTATTAAATCAACTACCCTCCTCCAATCATTGACCTGTTCCTTGGCTTGTATTACAAACTTACTGTCCCACTCTTTTCTCTCTGGCCCACCCACCATTCTGCATTGACCTTTGGTTTTCACCATAACTACAGGCTCTTGTTCTACCCTATTGTTTTTCTGATACGCCTCCTCCCTTGTGAAGGCTTCCTTTTCATTAGGTGTTCTTAGACTTAAAAACTCATGGAGTAATCTGTTAACTTTCCCCCATCCTTGACTCTGTTTTCCTGCCAGAATACATACCAGTTGCCTTCTTCCCCTGCTAAAATGTTAAGTGAAAGTTATGAAGAAACCTTTGTTGTTCTTCTTGCATTCAACCCCAAATCTCTTTCCTTCTGTACCATGTTCCTGCCAGTTTATCTGCTTTCCTTTTGAGCAAGCTTCAGTTATGAATCTGTTAACCACTTCCAATCCTTCCAACAGTATCTTGCCCTTTTGTTGTTCCTTTACCTTCAAACTTAACTTCCCCTTGATTCATATCTCTTTGAACAAAAAGTTTTTTGCTTTAGCCTTCAAAGATCTTCTCCATCAACCTTCTTGCACGAACTCTCCACCTTCACCTTCCATCTTTCACATCATATGTAGTTGTAACTTGTAACTCTGTTTCTCTTATATGTTTAAACTAGAGAATGACCCCCCCCCCCNCCCCCCCCGGTACTTAGTACAGGATAAGTATTCTGATGATGTTTTATTCACGTATTTTGATAAAATTTGTTTGACACCCATTTTTTATGTTTTAAATTTAGGCTATTATTTTATTTGATATTTTTGATATATAGATTTGTTATTTAATGATAATCCTGGATCCTACGTTCATTTGCAATGTTTTTTTTTTCTTTCTTTTTAGTGGAAGTAACTACCAGTAACCTTTTTGAGAGTGGACATAACTACCGTTTTGAAACTCATACTTTAAGGATTCTACATTATTTGAAATGAGTTTTTGTTTTTTTTTTCCGGAAAATTCCTGATTAGTACCTTGTACTTTGGGCCTAGTGCCACTTTGGTCCATGAACATTAAAACGCGACAATTCAGTACCCGAACTTTCAAAACGTGCCAATCCAGTACCAGCCGTTAAGTGGCATTTGAAAAGACACAAACGCCCTTCAAGTGTCATCTAATTTTCTTTATCAACCATCCAAACGTTGACAAAAAATGAACAGTCCCAAATCCTTGCCTCTTCTATTCAAGAAAGTTGCGGTCACCACTCACTCGAAGGGCATTTATGTCTTTTCAAATGCCACTTAATGGCTGGTTAACGACAGGTACTGGATTGGCACGTTTTGAAAGTTCAGGTACTGAACTGTCGCGTTTTGAAAGTTCAGGGACCACAGTGGCACTAGGCCCAAAGTACAGGGTACTAACCGAGAATTTTCCCTTTTTTACTTTTTAGTGGAACTAACCACCAATAACCTTTTTGAGAGTGGAGGTAACTACTGTTTGAAGCTCATACTTTTTTTTTGAGTGGGTAGATACTTGTTTGAGGAAGGAAGCTTTTGTTAGAAAGTGGGAGTAACCACTTTTGAGATTCTCTTTCTTGAGAAAATATGTTGCTACTTATACGAGGAGAAGCTCTCTAGTCTAATGGCATATGTCCTATCTAGACTTGTTCATGGGCCGGGTAGCTCGAAGGCCCGGCCCAGTCCGTTATTTTATGAGCTTGGACAAAACTTCAGGCCTGCAGGCTCGGGCTTGGGCTTTAAATACCAGGCCCGGTCATTTTTTGGGCCGGGCTTGGGGTTTCTCAAATAAGCCTGGCCCAATACTATTACATATAATAAAAAAGTATTTATGTTATATATAATAAATATATATAATATTTTTTTCTTAAATTATAAATAAATATTAATTTACTATTAGGAAATACAAATTAGTTTATTAATTTATTAAATTATTACCAAATTAATATAATATTAGTTTATAAAAGTACACTGAAAATAAGACATTTTGTGTATAGGTCGGGCTCGGGCTTTGAGCTTCGGGCTTTATGTAAGGGCCGGGCTTGGGCTCATGATCTAGGCTTGATGGTCGGGCCGGGCTCGGGCTCGGGCCTGCACATTTTCTGTTGATAAAGAGGCAAAGCCCAGCCTGGGCCTGGCCCATGAACAGGTCTAGTCCTATCCATGTCTGGGCACATAGGTTCGTAATCTACTGAGCTAGTAATGGATAAAAACTATTGACTTTGTACTGCAATGATACTTTGCTCTTATATTTTTCTTGTAGTTTTACTGATACTTTCTTCTTAAATTAGTAATGAGATCAAAGCTATGTTACATGGATATAGCAAGGACACTGCTGGATACGGTATCTTAACAAATTTACACTAAAAAGTTAAGTATCCGACATGATACAGTATCATTGCATGGGTATCCAAGAATCATAGGATCAGAGATATATTATTAATATCAATACAAGTCAAAATTTCATGAATCATGACATGTAATAGCATAAAGATCAAGTACAAAGTAGAAACTCTCAATGGTTTCCTAAAGTCTAGCCCCTGATGGCTGCTAACCGTATTGCTCTTCCAGATTTACTGTTTCTCTGCTCTGCTAAATTAGGTAATCCTTGACACCATCTGAATGAGATGTTCATTTTTTAAGCCAAAGATCCTTACTTTTATCAAGTTTCTTTAATGTCCTAGGCCCTTCTCCACCTTCCTCATCCATCTGATTACTAAAATCTCCTACTTCCATAGGTGGATGATGAAGTACAGATAACAGTTTCAATTGCTGTAATAGTGATGGTATTTCAGCTTGGATTAAATCCCCATTGTCAAAGGGAATATATGTAAACTATATTTTGACTTTGGATGGTATATTATAATTCTGAAAAACATGCCAATTATCTTGCTATTTTTGTTTAATCTGTAAATTCATCAAAACTTATTTTGGTTATGTAATTATTTTTCTGTTTTCTTATCTTAAAATTTCATCTGTTATATAGGGATGGTGGTGAACTGTCAACACGAGACTTGCAAAAAATGGTTCAGGCTTTGCCACAATATAGTGAACAAATTGACAAGCTTTCCCTGCATGTGGAGGTTTGTTTCTTGACCATGGGAATGTGAATATTCTTGTAGAGCTTTGTGTAGCTTATAATTCAATTACCACAAGGTCATTTCAAAACACTTTTAGCCATCAATGGTACAACTGGGGAATAACATGATAACAAAGAGTTTCATTCACAATAATTTATACTGATTATTTCTTGTCAGTACCTATTTATATCTAAGAATTTCATTGACAATAACTGTTTACTGGTTCTTTTTTGTCATTCCAATGCTGATGGTTTTTTCTATTAGTATCTAGCTAAAGTTTTACCAATAGTACTATTATTTGTTTGTTACATGTTTTTACTATATCCGCACTAACTAATTTAGTGTCCCATTGCTTCCTAGTTGCACAAATTTCATGTATTTGTTTTGAAAATTTGGAAATCCACCACGAATTGTTGATTAGTCACACTAGTGAAATGGTGCAAGAAATTGAATTTGATTTCCACTAAATGGGTCTCAAGTATGGAAACGTCTAAAAAAGGTCAAAATTCAGTTTTGGGAAGTCTATGCTTTGTCATCACCTTTCTGTGTTACTGACCTCTATTCATTTAAGGTTTCAAACTTAATTTCTTATATTGTTGTAGTGAACACGGTTAAAAAAGTCGAGAAATGTCAGAAATGTTAACTGACATATGTTGGTGTTGAAACCCAACAACAGGAATTTTAAGGTCGGTCTCAAAAATAGAAAAAACCGGTCGACATGTTTATTTTGGTAAATGTGACCAAAGTGGCTTGATACACACTAAAATGCAATGATCTTGTTTTTTTAAAAACAATTTAAATAACATCTTCTAATAAAAAGATTTAGGACAAACAACAGAATTTACAGAAATTATATTTTATGTTAAGAGAAAGAGAAAAAAAGAAAAGAAGGAGAAGGAAAAAGGGGATTTGTGCTTAGTGTACCTGGAAATCTATGAAGTAGACTTGCAGCATCTTGGATTGTTTGAAGTTGAAGAACCAATAGGGGAGAAAATGACTTTTACATACTTGGATGGTACTTGAAATCCATGAGGCAGTAGCCATAAGGCCCACAACATAGTGGTGACTGTCAACTGTCAAGCTTTGGAACTCTTGGCTAGTCAGCAATGGAAGTGGCTCAATTTCAGATCTTGGAGAGTTGGAGATAAAGAAAAAACCTCACACATCACAAGTCACAAGTCACAGCTGTGCTCTGTCAAGGCATTATCTGCAATAGAGCTACTTCTTGAGCAGAGAGCTTTTATGTTCTGCTGCTTTCTTCTCATTATCTGGTTGGGGTTACATCTACCTTTTTCTTTATATCTAATAAAATTAACTGTTATCTATCAAAAAAAAGATCTGATTTTTTTCTTCTTTCGAGAACCAGTAACCCAGTAACCCGAAACAAGAGAAAAATGAGAGAAAAGGAGCCAAGGTCAAGCTGTTGAGGGAAGAGGGAACAGGAGAGGTGTCAGCTTCTGGGCCTCATCCTTTTCCTTCTTCATCTGATGAACAGTCCCTGTTTGAAGTGTTAATCCACATCTTTGGTGGTGACTAGTACCCCCCTACCCTCACACACACACACACACACACACACATTACATGTATAAGGGTAGGGATGTCGTTTCTAGCCCGGCCTGGAAATTTCCAGCTGGGGCCTTGGCTTTGTGTATTCTTAGATTAAATAAATAAAAAAATTCTAATATATAAGTAAAATTATATAAGAAATTGGAAGTTCTTATAAAAGAAATATAAAGCAAAGAACTGCATATATAATAAACCTCCACTATATCTATAATTTTTACAATATTTCCATACAACATTTCTGGCACATTTCCTGTATCGGATGATCGACTTTTAAACCTTGGTGGGTAATGAACTAGAGGGTTAGGGTTCATGTCATCTCTTTCACTGCATAAGAATGAGTACTGGAGATCAGCATTCATGTTGAAGGCAAGTGATTGACAATAAAAGCTTGTCTAAGTATGTTGTCAACAACCCACATAAAAGGTCACCTTGTTTGGGATGTCATGCCCTTGTTGAAAGAGGCTAGGAAGGAGGTCTCTTTTTTCACTTGACCATCTCTCAGCAGTCCTAGAAATCCAGCAACATTACCCCCCCTGTGCAAAAGCCTTCCTGTAGTTTGGTTAGTTTAAGATTTGGAGGGCCTTCTCTATACTTAAGCTTCAATGTATCCAAACTTCAGCTCAATTAAATGGTTGGATTAAGAGAAATGGGCCTAAAAGTTGGCCTTTTGTTATGAACTGTCTTCTCTTTCATCCTTCTCTTATCTTCCTAAATGTTTTAGAAGGTGTGTCATGCCTAGTTGTAACAAGCAAGGCACACTTTTTTGATCGGCAACACAGAAAAGATCAATTCATTAGAATTTAAAAGAGGGAGATACAACAAGATGTTATGCAGGTAAGGTGCATTTTTTGGTATGATTTTTTCCGGAACTCATTTGCAGCTTCCATCCTCCTTCAAAAAGCATGCATCTGGTTGGGGCACTTAGTGCTAACCTGGCCTGCAAATTAATGGCTTGGGTTAAGGTTTTGTGTCCAAGCCTGACCTAACCCTCATTGTATATGTATAGTATAAAATATTATATATGTGTTATTTTACATTATATTAATTATAAAATATATATTATACAGTATAAATTTCCTGGCAAGGCGCATTTTTTGGTTCCATTATATATTTACTGTGAAGTATTTAAAGTTATAGGCCCAGAAGCCCTGCCCAGCCTATGATCAGCCCTAGCATCTGATACACCTTTGCCTAAGACCAAGCACACACCTTTTTTTTTCAAATATGCATTCTTTTGTAGATTCTTATGTGTTTTACACCTTCGTAATGGTTTATCAACTTTTGAATTTCCTGTTATTGTTTGTACACTAGTAATGGTCTATGGTTTTTAAAATAAACATAAAAAAGACCTTTCAAATAGCGAAGTTTCCACTAAATAGGTAATGACAATATTGAAAGTTTCACATGCTTGAACTGTGAATGTAAAGAACTACATTTAGAGTTGAAATGGAGTAATTCAATTTGATGATTACCTACACAAAGTGGAAAGCAAAGGTAACTAAATTTATTGATTGATTTTAAATGAACAAATTGATTAAAGAAGGAAAAAAGAATAAATGTGAAGAATAAATAAGTGATGGAAGACTCCAGGAATCATGCTAACCAGGTTTTTATATGCAGATTGCTGGGAAGATCAACAGAACTATCAGGGAGCTGGGGCTTCGGGAACTTGGGCAACTGGAGCAGGACCTAGTCTTTGGAGATGCAGGAACAAAGGACATAATCAATTTTCTAAGGACAAAGCAGGTGACATATCAACGAATGGAAACTGATGCATGTTACTAATGACTCATATGTACTTTGGATGGCTGATATATCAAATGTATTGGTAATGTAGGACGCTACCCGAGAAAATAAGTTGCGGTTAATGATGATATATGCATCCATTTATCCTGAGAAATTTGAGGGCGACAAGGGTTTAAAGCTGATGCAGGTAAGTTCCTCTTATTGCTTTTCCTCTTATCATCTACAAAATATGTTTTGTTACTAACTGACATTTAATACAAAAAAGTGGATCCAACTTGTAGTAGCTATATGTATTTAAGGTAGGAGATAAAAAAATGGAAATAGAAGTTCCCTCAAGAATCCATGGCATGACACATCATCCATTATGAGAGTCCATGAAACACTGCTGGTATCAAAGTAGCATTATGTTATAGAAAAAGTAGGCTGCTAAATATATCTAGGGTTTACTGTGAAGTAGTACATGAAGATAAAGAAATAATAAAAATAAGAAGGGGGATGTGTATGTTGTGTAACATGCCTTAACATTTCTACGATGGTAAATAATGACTGAAGAGAAATGGCCCTACATGCAAAAACAAAGAGGCTGAGAAACACAGGCTGTACAGAAAAACAGAAGGCCATCAACATGGGTCGCCCCTCAAATACAACAAGCCAGATAATTGGATCGAATGTTGGATTGGGTATCAGACCATTGAGCTTCCACAAGGATCACCCCCCAAATAGGATATACACATCCACCATATCTACGATGGTACATAATGACTTCCAACAAAATCAATTATAACAATTTCTTTCCTCTTCCTCTTCCTCTTCCTCCTCTCCCTCTACCCCTAACACTTTTAGCACCCTGTACCACTGTGTCCACATACTGATCCACCTTTATTCTAAACTTGTGACTTCCTGGAAGCCCACCATAGTCATAAATATCCAAGCCTTCTGCCTCTTCAACCTCTTTACCTTGTTCCTCCAAAAATCCATACCAAGAATCCTTCATTGGGGCTTGCTGGATTGCCTCGCACTCAAGCTCAGCAAAAATCTCTCTAGCCCACTCCTCCCCCCAATAAAGAATAGCCCCATAGTGGTTACCATCTGAACATCTTTTTCCATTGTATTCTCTCTGGAAAATGTGATTGCCTCAGAAGTAGTTGCAACCTCCCTTCTCTCTGCCTGATTCACTTCAGCAAACTCCTCTTTTCCTGGTGAGCCAGAAATTCCATCCCCACAAACTTTCCCAGCCATCTTCATGCCTTTGATCATCTGGATCCCCTTATTGGGTGTTAGATAATGGCCTGAAGTTTATTCTTGTATTTCTTGATGGGTAAGTCAGTATATTGTTGTTGTGTAGCTTTATGTGTGAGTGTGTGTGTGTGGGTGGGTTTTGGGAGAAAGGTAACAATCTAATCATCAGTTTAAAAACATTATTTGCATGAGAGGATGTACAGAAGCAACAAAAAGAGATTATGTCCCATTTGTCATTTGAAAAAACTTAGGCAGGCATCTAGCAATTACTGTACAAAAGGTCCTTCTCTCAAGCTCTTGCTAGTCTATCAGATATCAAGTTTAGCTCCCTTGGAATTTACCTTCTTCTGATAGGAAAGGTTGAAATGATGTATCAGGTTTTATTCAGGAGATGGGCCAGCTCTGAAGGTCCCTTCTCAGCCATCCTGACCCAAATAATGCTGTCATCTGATTTATTGAGAATTCCTCCAACACCAGGTGGCCTAGGGTTTATGGAATAACTGCCATAAAATTGTAATTTGATATAGAGGATCCTAGAGAGTATGCTTTAGGAAATTTAATTATTTCAATGAGATTCCTTTGCACATCAATTAGAGTTATACTTCTCAATTATTTGCCCAACCATATTTGTACCATGGAAACTTGTGGAGACAAAGATGGGAAGATTTGAAATATTTGGAAACATAATGGTAGCTCTATGGAATATTTAGGAAATACCTATTGAAATTTAGAAATGCTACTATGGTTATTAAAAGTAGTTAATACACAGTGACTGGTATGCTTGATAGATTTGGGTCTCACTGATATTACATATGCGATTATTTTCATGAGTGGCTCTCGAGCATATTTACAAATATGAATTTACAATGGTCTGTTATTTTCCTCTAGTTATTTCGTTCTCATTTAAAATATTGATATAAAAACACATTTACTTATTTAATGTTTCAACAATTTTTTTTCTCATTTTGCCCAAGAAAAACAGTTTTCTCATTTTCCTTCCATATTGCCTATCAAAATATTTGTAATGTGGGAATTACTTCAGAAGGATTTTTTTTTATTTGAAAAAGGTAAAGTATAACCTTCATTAAACCAAGAGATAACTCAATGTGACCATTTCCAGTACCTTGGTTCAATAATTCATAACAAGGGAGAGATTGAGGAGGATGTCACCCAGAGAACTAGAGCAGATTGAGCAAAATGGAGGGGCCCATCTGGACTTTTGTGTGATAGGAGAATACAACTTAGATTAAAAGGAAAATTCTATACAACAGTTGTAAGGCCAGTTATGTTGTTTGGAGTAGAGTGTTGGGCAGTCATGAGACAACATGTTCAGAAAATGAGTGGCAGAATGCGAATGCTAATATGGAGAGTGTAAAAACCATAGTTTTCAAGGCGACGTCTAGGAGACAAAGCGCCCTTGGAGTCTTGCCTTGCCTAATCTCCAAGCAGTTTTCTATAGCGTGTTATAACAAACTTCTATATTCTTAATTTTTTGAGGTTATAATTATAAAATAGACATTTTTAAACTAAAATACTCATTTTGTGTGTTTATATACTAATTTATTTTTGTTATTTTCTTATTTGTTAGGGTTTAATCAACACAAGCATTGCTAAATGCTGTATTGAACCCTTAAAGACTTCAAAAGCTGAACCAATAAGTAAGAAAGAACATAAAATGTTGTCCAATCAACACATTTTCTTCTTTTTCTTTACTAATTTTGTGTTTTTATATACTAATTTCTTCTTCTTCCACGTTTCTTTTCTTCTTTTCCTATAACAGAAATAGGGGTTCAACCCCTATATTTTTTGAATTTTCTTTTCTTTCTTCTTTTTCTTCTCATGAATATGTTGGAATATGTTAATTATCTATACTTTAACATGAAGTTTATACTTTTCTTATGAAAATTATGGATATTTATTAAGGAAATATGATTATGGAACCCAGGGAACTACCCTAGGATACATGCTTTTACTTGAAAAAAATCGATCGCCTAGGTGATGCCTAGGCGACTAGGCGCCCCTTGTCGCTTAGCCTCGCCTTGGTGCCTTGAAAACTATGGTAAAAACTAGAAAGGATAGGATCAGGAATGAAGCCATCTTTTGAAACTTAGGAGTAGCTCCAATAAGTGATACAATGAGAGAGAGTAGGCTAAGATGGTTTGGTCACGTGCATAGAAGGCCACCAATTAATAGCAAACAGTCTCTGTGTACACCAAGGGTTTAGATGATTCCTAGGTCTAATCTAATCACCATCTTTAATGGGTTTAGGTGAAAATTTAGTAGTAGCTAAGAATGTTGAAGCATTTAAAGTAGGTGGTCATTGAGAAATGGATCTATGACATGAAGGTGAACTGTCTCATAATGTGAATATATATACATACATATATTTATATATTATAAATTCAATATTTCATATTTATATTAATTCATTATATATAAGTTAAAGGTAATTAATTTTTTATTTTAAAATTAAAAATCAGAATCGGATTAAATCCGAATCTGACCCAACTACGGCCCCATCCATATGTATCTGGTCATAATAGATTAAGGGTGGAATAGGTGTTGGCAAAATAAAATTTCATGAGCAGGATATTACTTGCATTATGTGTAGTTATGTATATTAGATGTTCCTTGCTGAATTGGCAAGATTATAGTGATTGAGGTGTGCCTGCAAATATTTATGAAAGCTATACCTTATCTTTCCAGTTAGCAAAATTATCGTTTGATGATATGAATGCTGTTAATAATATGAGATTGCTTGAGGGACTATCAGATGCCAAAAAGACCTCAACAGGGGGGTTCTCTCTCAAGTTTGACATTCAAAAGGTAAACATAGCAATAGCTTAAATAATTCTTCAAGATTTTTGCAGAATCCTGAATACTTATATTATCTGGAAGTGAATATGATAGTTCCACTATGTTCTTTGTTTGATTATCAGAAGAATCATGCAGTTAGAAAGGACCGTTCTGGAGAGGAAGAAACATGGCAACTATCAAGGTTTTACCCTATGATAGAGGTATATCTGGTATTAGGTTAATGGCTTCTTTGCATTAGTTGCTAATGCCATTTAATCACATTTTTTCTTTTTTTTTTCCTCTGTGTGTGTGTCTGTGTTGAAAGTGAACTTTCATGTATGATCAAATTGTATGGAGTGCATAAGAGAAGCAAGGCCCATGTACATCCAGGAGCTCCAAGGAGGGCTGTCACCCATAAAGAAAGAAGACAGCTTTCTATTTAGCTTATACAACAATTCAAAATTAAGAAAATTTGAAGGCATTTAAATTCTTTGCACTCCAACATATATGTGTATATGCTTATGGCCTTGCATAACACTATCTCCTGAGATGGTGCTCAATTCTCCAATATGCCTGAGTTCCTTAACCATAAAAAAATATCACAAAGGGAAAGGTCTTCATAAGGATTTTTTCCCTCTTATTCACACCATTTAGCCTCCAATGTAGGAATGTTTCTTACTGATACAGAGAAGAGACTGTTGCCACTAGTGGAAGAGGTACCATGTTCACAATCAATCCCTACTGATGAGTCCTATGACACCACAAAGACAGTTGCTATTATCAGTCCTAGGTGGTTAAATATCTCATTTGATGGCCATGAAAGTGAAGTTATGTCCATATTCATGACAATAGAGAGGAGGTGAAGAAGTTAATGCACTGATAAAGAAGAAGCCCAAGTTAACAAGGGAACGACTTAGGTTGGAAATTGGAATAGACCCTCAATGATGTTGGAACTTGGAAGCTCTGCAGGAACAGTGGGAAGGGGAAGGGGAAGCAATGACCCTAGGGGTGCATGTACTTAGTTGGGTAGGGGAGAGTGCATAAGACATGATTTGATAAAACCTGTATTGTGGAATGTACATGGTTGGGAGCTCCAGAGAAACTGGATATTGTAATTCTCTAGGAAACAAAGTGGAGGTCTGGGACAATCAAATGACGGGTGTGAAAATGTAGGAGTTGCGGATGGGCAACCAAACCAGCAGGTGTCTTCGGAGGTACTTTAATTTTATGGGATAACGATGTTAGAGTATCTGATCAGATGGTGGGTTAGTATCTCCATTGTCCTTTGCAGAAATATAATAGAAAGGATTTAGTAATAGCCATAGTTTTCAAGGCACCAAGGCGAAGCCACGAAGCTAGGCGATAGGGGAGTGCCTAGGGTAGATCCCTAGGTTTCATTGTAATAAGTAGTAGTGATCTTTAACTAGTAATCACCATAATTCTCATAAATTAAGTATAAACCCCATATTAATAGATTGAAAGTTAACATATTTATGAGTAGAAAAATAAGAAAGGAAATAAACATACAAAACATAAGGGTTGAGCGGTTGAGCCCTTGTTAGAAGAAGTCCCATTGATTGTTCTTGTGTGTCAATTGGATAAAACCTTCAAGTTATTTTTACTTATCAATTCAGGTTTTGAACTCCTAAAGGGTTCAAGAATATGCCAATGCCTTGTGTCTCAATTGAACCCAAACAAACAAGAAAATAACAAAAAGAAAGTAGTATAAGAATAACAATATTACTACTATAAACCCACAATATGAATAATCTAGTCTAATAATATCTATTGTACTGCTATTATTAACATAAAATATAAATATAAAATATTATGTGGTGTCTTACATATAAATATGTAGGCGTTTGGGTGAGGCGACCCTCCAAGAATGCCTTATTGCCTAGGCGTCACCTTGACAACTATGGTGGTAGCTATCAAGTGTTAATGGCCTTATTTGCAGCAACTGTTGAGGTGAGTTTTGGAGGGAACTTGATGATGCTTACAACTGATGGAGTGTCCTAACTCCCATGGTGTATTGACAGTGATTGCAATATTATGAGGTCCACAACTGGGAAGCAAGGATATGAGGATATTGATGGACATGATGGAATTTGGGGACCAATGGCAAATGTGACCTGGTGAACTTTACATCTGCTGCTTAGTTCAGTTGGAGTAATTTCCGGGGGAATCCATCTTTATCAAAATTTTATCACTTTTTATTAAGCAGCAGTTCAGAGGAAACAATCACTAACATTATTCAAACATCCAATAAAGACTGACATTTGGATCATATGCCTATTATACTTCAAAGTTCAAATTGGTATTGTCATCTTCAAACCAGGTCCTTATAGAATGGAGATATTCTTTGAAGTCCTTACAGAATGGTGGGAGGATACTCCAAGAGAATGGGAACCCTGTAGAATATCATGAAGTGGGACAAGGAAGACGTAGGCTGTATATATTGCCAAAAAGAACGCTATTACAAATATAAGAAATTGACCAAAAAGAAGCCAGGAATATATCCAAAAAGGAGGGGAAATAGATGCATCACAAGAAAAGAATAAAGTACATTGATTTCTATGTAAGAGATCTCTTGGTCTTGGTAACAGAAATTGAGGGTTCAATGGTTGAAGGCTGAAGATAAAATATTTAGGTCACAGCTAAGTTATTATGGTAGCTGTTTAAAGTTGTCTCTCTGAGATTGTTGTACACAAGGTAATACTTTGGAGTTTCATCCGTTTCTTTTGATTGAAAATATTTAAGTTTGGTATTCAGTATTTGACATTGCCTCTTCCTAAGTTTTCTGCTCCCTAACTTATTAAAAGTTGCTACACCTTTTAGGTTAGGTAAGTATTATTGTGATATCTATGTTTGGCAGTAATATGGATGTTCTTAATTTGAGATTGGGGTGCTTTTGTTTTCTGAACAGTGACAAATAAACAATGGTCTGCCCAGTTTATAAAGAATGGGTATCTTCCTAGATCACCACCTTTTATGATCTGTTCCAATTTTTTATTCTTTCCCACTTCCAGGAGCTGATTGAAAAACTTAGCAAAGGTGAGCTATCAAAGAATGACTACCCATGTACGAATGATTCAAGCCCCACTGTCCATGGGACCACACAAATGTCATTGGTACGGACAAGTCAAGGTCCACCTGCCCATTCAATGAGATCAAGGAGGACTGCTACATGGGCCCGTCCCCGCAATTCCGATGATGGGTATTCAAGGTACTATTTTTTATTCTTAAATTTCAGGGCCCTATTATGTCTGCTGTAGTGTGACATTCATGAATGAGGTGGGGCCAACCGTCAAATTGGACCATGATGATTTCTTGTCCAAGTTATATTTTATACTTTGATACAGCAACGATTATCTAATTGGGTTAGTACTGTGTTTAGGCAATCTGTGATTCCACCAGATATGACAAGTGTGGCTATATCTTTCATAGATCACTTTAAAATCCTTGCAATTGTGTAGTTTAATCTAGTTACTGTTTTCATCTCCAAGAGGGTGGGTCCTGGCGCAACAGTTGGGTTTCTCCATTGCGACCTGAGTGACCAGGGTTGGGTACATCTGTCCCTCCCTAGACCCCCTGCATTGGCAGGAGCCTCTTGCGCTGGTCTACCCTTTTACTGTTTTCATTTTGAACTACAATTATTCTTAACTCTTGGGTTTTCCATATTCTTGTTTCTCCTAGATAGCCTCTAGACTCAATACCGAGTCATTTTGTCTAGTTATTCAATGATAAGGTTCCTTCATTCTTGGATTTTTCCATATTCTTATCTCTCTTACACTGCATCTGCAGTGACTCGTTACTGAGGCATGCATCTAGTGATTTCAAGAAGATGGGCCAGCGTATCTTTGTATTTATTGTGGGTGGAGCTACCAGATCAGAGGTAACATAATTCCATCATTGGTGAATTCTATGGCTCAGTTGCATGTTCTGGCAAAGTGTTTCTTATCAGTCTTAACACACTGAAGGTCTCCGGTTTGAGTCCGGGTGACGCCAAAAGTTTTATCTGAAGGCAAAGGATTTCTTATGAAGCATCGTTTCTTTTCCTTATTATTTCAGCTACGTGTTTGCCACAAGCTCACAGCAAAGTTGAAGAGAGAGGTTATCTTAGGATCTTCAAGTCTTGATGATCCTCCACAATTTATCACGGTAAGAACATTCCTATATGAAGTGGGTCAAAAATAATTTGTGCTTTCAAGTAGGTATGGAGACCCCAGACTGCAAGTACTGGGTCTTGCAGCCCTGCTGGATATGAGAAACTCCTCTTAATTCATTGTATGTATGTAAAAATGGGCTTTCTGCACTGATAATGCAGAAGGTAAAGAGATTTATCAGGCAGAAACTTTCTGTGGTAGGTGTGTTACTGGACATGCACTGTTAATGCATGTGGACCTTTGCTACCACATGCAAAATATGCCATAGCACCCTGTAGTTCGTTTGTTTCTTTTTCACATTCATGTGTTTTATTTTCACCGACCAGAGTGTCTTTACCTAATAACGGTAAAAGAATAAACCGTGGTTGGCTTCTGATAACTTTGGATCCATGTGCAGAAAGTGAAGATGCTGACAGCAGGACTTTCATTAGATGATCTTCAAATTTAAATTTGCGGATGCATTGGATTGCTTGGGGCACACTTTTTCTTGATGACATCAGGCTGGCTTTCTCATCTGTAACCTTTAGTCCACATAGCTTCTTTCCATATCCCTTCCCCATCATTTTCTATCTTTTTGTTTTCTTGGACCATTTTTCAGTCATCAATGAAAAAATGTGTTAAGAGAAAGTTTGTAGTTGGAAGATAGCTTTGCTGGAAGTACATGGTAGGAGCTAGAACCAAGACTTCCATTTTAGCTGTTTTCTGAATGTTGTACACACCCTGTGTTGGCGTTGTAATTGATAACCCTGAAAGCCACTGAACAATTCTTATTGTATATAAATATTTTGTAATATGATGTACATGCATCAGCAAAACTGGGAAGAGGAGCGTTTTGTGAATTCTGTGGCTTGATATTTTCCGGGCAGGTAGGACTTTTTTTAAGCATGGCCTTTTGTTATGTTTTTTGTGTTCCTTATTCCTTGAGGTTATGTTTGGTTTGAAAGAAAATGCATGGAAAGGAAGGGAAAAGTAGGGAAACCTTTACAAGCCTTGTATAGATTTCCCTGTCTTTCCCTTCCTTTCCCTAGCTTTTTCCTTCAAACCAAACATAGCCTGAGAGAACTTTTGTTCATTGAACTCTTGCCTGAAAAAATAGTTCTGCTTTGTCTGAGGTAACAGGTAAGTTCGTTACAACTGGGGCATTGGTCACTTGGAGGGATGTTATAGGCTTATAACCAATCCAGATCATCAATGTCATTGGGATCACTGAATTGGCCATATGGACAGCGTCCTCAGACGGTGAGGAATATACACCTGGCTGTGTTCAATTTTTCCAGTGAATATCAGATATTAGTTTGTTACATATGTATTTGTTTAAAAATATGGTGGGAGGGAGCCTCCTTTCTTTGGTTTATGCCATGCCCTTAACCTCTTTCAGTTGATGACATCCAAGGTTGAAAGATAGCTTTTGGGTAGAAGATTATTTAGGGGAAAATTCTAGTATGAATGACTAGTGAGCACTGAGCGAGCAGGGTTAGTAGGTTTCATTCCAAACAAAATCTGAAGGCACCAACCGCACAACCAGTGATGTGTTGTTGGTTGACCTAATATCAGGGATCGCAGAGTATGTATCGTGATTCGTGACAAACATTGGAATGATTAGGATATGCGTAGTTATTTAGGGAAACTATTATTATTATTATTATTATTTTTAATTTTTGGTATTACAATCCAGGGAAACTCGTATAAATGATAAATACAAAGAATGCATCATTAACACTAAGCTCAAATGACAATATATTAGGTATAAGTTGAGGTTTAAACTTTTAAGTGTTGAAACGATGCATCTGATATCGGTTTCAAGAGGATTGGCCCAAGGAAACATGGGTTAAATGCCCCAATTTTGAGGGCATCGATCTATATCACTCAAATGGTTAGCCAGGCTCTTCGATCTTCACCTTGTGTCAAAATTCAAAAAGTCTGCGCAGTGTCACAAATCCACTGATAGCTTTAGCGTACAGAACCTCATATTGAGGATTGAAATTAAGAGAAGATTGACGAAAACTGTTGAGTACTTGGATTGAGGCACTAGAAGTTTATAAAAATTTTCCATCGGAAGTGGCTACAATTATTCCGTGATAGTGAGGGAAGAATGAAGGGTTTTGCTCCTACTCATACTTGAAAAATCTTTTGAGCATGCAGAATGGGCAATAATAGGGGTGAGCATTCGATTTATTCAATTAAAACCAAAATGAATAAGCCAAATTTCAAAAACTAATTTTTTAAAATAAAATACCAAATTGAAATCGAATAACTAAAAAAAAGGGGCATTTTACAAAAAAAATCTATAAAGTTAGTTGAATGGACAAAATCCGAAATGTTTACAAACAAATTACAAAAACTGTGAGTGGGAAGAAAGTTAACTTTCTCTCTTTCTATTTCTTCTTCCCCATCGGTACCCGTCAAATAATGGTGACTACCAAACCAGTTCGGTTGTTGCCCCTTCCTCTCTCTCCCCCCTTTTCTTCTTCTTCTTCCTCCTCCCTCTTATGTTGTAGCAAAAGTCACAGGATTGTGTCGTAACATTAAAACAGAGCATACTTCGCATGGGATTGTGCCCAAATCGTGAACTGGGAATAATTGGAAATTCCTTTAATACTAATTCTAATGTGCTCCCGTCAATCAAATATATATTCTAATCATGAGCAGGTGCAATCAATATTCATTCACCACCACGAACTGGTTATACTAGTACTTGTCAAACTCCACTTGAGAAGTTGATCCCTATTGTCTTGGACAGTTGCTTGCCCGGCTTACATGGTTCTAGTGTTGCCCTCACCTCTGGTTCGACTCTTCCACATCATGAAATACTAAATGTGAAATTGGTCTGAATAACCAAGCATTGCTCCACTTCCATATCCTCACAGCACCCAGATTGTTGTATAACGAAGACCCACAATGCGTATATAGGTACACTTAGTAACACGATACCTGGTTTGGTGGTCACTGTATTAAATGGTAAAAAATTTGGTGAAGTCAAGACGCTAGTTCAAAATTCCAATGGTCGTTTTGCTACAGTGAAGAAGAAGAAGAAATAGAATGGGAGAAAAAGAAGAGAAAAATCAGAATTGGGGAGGGTAATTTTGTTGATAAAATTTAACTTTTTTCCCGCTTATTGCTTTTGTAATTTGTTTGTAAACATATCTGATTTTGACAATTCAACCAACTTTATTATTTTTTTTGGTAAAAAGCCCACAAAACTGAAACATAAATTCAGTTCAGTTTTTGATTGAAACCAAATTTCATTAATGTTATATTTTTTTGGTGAAATTATATATATATATATATATATATATATATATATATATATAAAATTTGGTTAATTTGGTTCTTTTTGGCTGGTTGAATTTCCAATCCTGAAAGTCAAAATTGAAACCAAAATTTTATAAAATCTAATTAATCAAACCAAATAAAATGAAATCGAAATGTTTGGTTTGGTTTTTCAGTTTGGACCGAACAATGCTCACACTTGGAAATAATCCATCTCTTTACGTGGAAGCTATTAAGCCATAGACAGTTGAACTGGTGAATCACTCAAAGTATTAAACTACTCAAGGGTATGGTTCAAATAAATGAATATGAAATTAAGGTCTTGTTTGTTTGCATTGAAGTTTATGTGAAATTTGAATGTCTTTGAAATTGTAATAAGTACTTGCAGGCCTAATCTGTTTTTCGAGGAGTCATTTACTTAGGTAAATTCACTTATCTGGACAAATATTTCTTTGGAAACACTTACCCGAATAAGTGCATTTTCGAGTATCCTTTTGCTTCCTAGGTTAAGTTAAACAATGACTGTTTTATGTACAAAAGTGTAATTAGTGATGGGGCAATATTGTCCCATCATGTATTAGCAATTTTTCTTGTAGACAGAAAAGTTATTTACCCAAAAGGCGTAGAGGGTAATACTTACCCAAGTAATTGAGTCATTTGATAATCATTCTTTTCTATGGGACCTATTAATATTGAAGAACAGACATAGATGAATTGGTCAGTTCTTATGTTGACCAACTTATTTATCCCCATTTGCCAAAAAAATGAACGAGGCCTTAGAGGTATATTGAACTTGGTGAGCTTTTCTTGGTATTGATATTTGAAAGTAAAGAAGTTTTTTTAGAACTTTGAATGCTAATGCCTAGAAAGTGATAATTAAACCATTTTAGCCCTAGATGTAAGAAAATTTGTTAAACTATTTAATAAATTAATTAACAATTAGTTAAGAGTACAAAATTATTCATAAATTATAGAATTGATACAAATTATAAATAGTTAAATATTTTAAAGAAAATTGAGCATTTAATAACTAATTATTAGATATATAAAATAAACAATTACATAATTATTTAATTAATAAAAGTAATAATTATGTAATTAATCAATTATTACATAATGATTTTAACATGTACCTAAACTATTAATTATAAATAAATAATTTATAAAAAGTAAGTCTTGTCGCTCGGATTGGTCGAGGGCAATATAGTAATTTTACTCCTAAGATATGGGGTCTTGACTGAGGGCTTTGAGGCCCCGAGTACTTCGCGAGAGAGGCCAAAGCCAAGGGCGTGTAGACGATCAGTAGGGGTATGCCGAAGTTGAGGCTGACCACCTTCTTGGGCATTGAGGATACTGAGGCCTAGGGGCCGAGGTGGATGATCTTAGAAGAGTTGGTGACGAAGTGTGGATGCTTGGCTAGGCGTATGAGGGTCCGAAGAGGGCCCTATGAGTTTGCTATGCAAGGAAAGAAGTGTCAGAGGCCTCGGGTGAAGACCCGAGGTGAGGACTTCGACAACCAAGTTAGTGTCCGCATAAGGTAAGTAGAAGGTTCAGTGCCGAGGCGCACAGACAAGGCCACTAGTAAACACCCAGTCCACGGTAAGAAGAATGTTAAGAGTCTTTGAGGTTCCGGATTCTTTACCTTGTGGGAGGTGCGTTGCATTTATAGTCAGAGATGCTTAGGAGTAGTTGGGCTCAGATGGCCCAGATGCAAGCCATACGAGGGTTGGGCGAGATGTTCTAGCGGAGCCACGCGGTGCTCCGCGATTGAGCCCATCCGATTCACACTGAATGGCTCCGCACGCCCTCATGATGACCCTATACTGGCGCCCGTTGGCTCACACGCATCAGCCCCATATTGGCCAGCCAAATGCGCCTACATCAGTAAGTAACTAAATAATAATTATGAAATAACTAAGAAAATAAATAAATAAATAAATAAATAAAAGTTAATAGCAAATAATTATTCTTAGAATTGAGAATCCATATGCGTGCATTGATTCTCAAAATCCAGAAAATCCAAAATTCATTCGTTTCTTATGAGAATCCAAAAAAATTGATGCGAAACGGGGCCTAAGGTTATGTTGGGATAAGCTTTCTTTCACTTTTGTATTTTTAAGAGCATAAAAGTATGAAGTATGATTTGTGCTTTTACCATATGCTTTTGTAATTTGATAATTATTGTTTTCAAAACATGTTTTAAAAATTAAAAGCATACTTAAGTTTTTGGTTATGACTCGTGGTTGTGAGTTGTGACATATAGCTTAACTTAATGTCGCATGGGGTATATTTTGCCTTAAATCACAAATTTGCACAATGGCATATATTTTGCCATATGTCACATACTTTTTCCACATAATATATTTGTTTTATACATCACAAGTTTGCCATTTCCATGTGTCATAAATTTGCCATGTGGCATATATTTAGCCACCATGTGTAACAAATTTTATCACATGGCATGTATTTAGTCATCATGTGTCACAAATTGTCATATGGTATATACATTGTTATATTCTCAAAATTGCCACGTGTCATATATTTATGAACATCAAAATGTGGTGCATATCTTGCCATGTATTACAAATTTTGCACATGATGCGTTTTGTAAAAACTGGCCAAAGCAAAAGCAATAAGTAATCTAGAACGACTTCGTGCTGTTTGTTTGCACAAATAATTTTGCTTCGGGTGTTTTTATCTGAAAAAATACATGTTGCCAAATGCCAATAAACATATTTTTTTTATTGCGGAAAAATGAAAGCACTTTGAAAAAGTTTATCCAAACATAACGATCAAACTCATAAATTAAAATAACATAAAAATAATTTAGGTTTTTAGAAATATTTAAAAGAATATGTGATGAAGTTGAGTGATGGAATCTCATGTCCTCTAGATTCTCTGCATGTTTGCTGCAATAAAACCAATGACATATCGTTCTTCCGCCACATTTTTGCATTCTAACAGTAACAGTAGTATTACCAAAAATCTGCTTTACCTTTTCTCCTGCAACTCCATTCACGTTTACTTAGAATTAATTCTGGTCTATGCAAGTTGATTCAGAAAATTTGTTTTGAGGCTTTGAGCCTCGTTTGCCTACCGACTCGCAAAAAAAGAGACATCCGACCATTCATCTTCAACTACGTGGAGGCCATGGCGTTTCGATGGTACCATCAGTCTATGTCTATCACCAACCACCTTCCCTCTCTGTTGTCCATTTCCATTTCTTCTCAACTGTCGAATTGGTATCAGAGGTATAGTCAGATTTCGCATCTGATCATGTGTAACCTTATTTTGTCTAACGTCAGCTCGAGACTTCACAAAAGGAAGCACTCTGTCTGTTTCGTTTTCGCGGTTTCCTCTCTCGATTGAAGAGAGATAAGTCGAAGGAAGAAGAAGAAGCAAAATAATTTTGTAAGAGTAAAGATGGGGAATATATTAACGTGTATAGATCAGGCGAGCATAGGGGTGGTGGAGAGATGGGGGCGTTTCGAGAGATTAGCAACTCCTGGCTTCCACTTCTTCAACCCTTTTGCCGGTGAATGGCTCGCTGGCGTTCTGTCCACCAGGGTCTGTTCTCTCGATGTCCGCATCGAGACCAAGACCAAGGTAGCAGCTCATCAACTTCCTCCTTCTTCCTTAACCATTTGTATCTTAACGGGTTTATACGATTTATTATTTGGGATTGTCTTTTCTGATCGGTACACCCTGATAAAATCTACTTTGTTTTATATCTTGCAAGAAAATGTCAATTTTTTTTGGCTCCATCAATTCCGAGTTTTGAATCGTATGATGAATTGATTATTATTGTTATGGTGTTTGTTTTACATGTTGGTGTCTGGAATACAATTGTGAGGGTTCGACATGGTCGAACTTAATTTAATAACATGATAATTCTGTGTCGAAAGAATGCGTAACACATTTTACCAGAAGAAATTGTAACTTCTCTTTGGACTCTTTCTTTTCTTAGTGTGCTTTTCGTTCAATTTTAGTAGGCAGCCACTTGTCTAAGTAATTTGGTTTTATATAAAATAAAACAGATGACATCCATGTCTAGCACCACCTATGTTTCTAAGATGCTCATGGCCAAACAAATGGAAAGTCCATTACAATCAGTGCCTTTTGGCATCGACAAGTTTTCCATTGGTTTAAAACTGTGGAGGCTTTTCAATAATTCACCATAGATGACATATTCAGAAATTGGTTTACAGTGCCTTCCCATCATGGCAAGAATCAAATAAGCAACAGTATCGCAAACGCCCAATTGGAATAAAATAAGATATCTTTGATGGGTGTAGGCTAGGGAACCTAGGGGCATCCGGAATTAGTAGTATTCAGGAATTGGGAAGGACATATATGACTCTTTAGAGCAAAATAATGACCAGTGCTGCATGATCTAAAGCTCGCTAATCTCTCGACTATAAAGGTTTGCAGGTTGAAGGACATTCAGAGATGGGCAATTGCTTTGTTAAAGACTAAAGCGGGTTTGTGGAAGTACAGATAAGACAGATATCAATACTGTCTTTTGGAAATAGGAACCCATTACAGGTGGACTCCAAGGTCATCTAATCTCCTAGCTGATGGTTTGGCAAACTTCACATATAATAACATTGAAGTGATGTGTAGCTTTTAAGCTCAACAAAGATGGACATTTTTCTTCTTGGTCATATCTTTAAAATGCTGTGGCCATATCTTTTCAGTTACTCAGGCTTGAAATGCATATTGTTAAAAGGTTAAATCAGTCTTTTGGTATTTGGATCACCTAGTAGGATGAATAATGATACATTCTATTATGTCATACAGGATAATGTCTTTGTGCAATTGCTCTGCTCAATTCAATACAGGATAATCAAAGAAAATGCTGATGATGCATTCTATGAGTTGCAAAACCCTCAAGAACAGATTCAGGCTTATGTGTTTGATGGTAAATTTTCATGATACACTAGTTTGTTCCATTTATCAAAAAAAAAAAAAAAGAAAGAAAAAAGAAATGATACAGGACCATGTTTGTCTCCTCAATTGGGAATCCGAATTTATTTTACATCTTTGCTATCTTTTTATAAAATCTTTGTCATCGATGAATAAAAAGAATAAGTAATGGTTTTTTGCCTTCAATGCAGTGGTCCGAGCTCTTGTTCCCAGAATGACATTAGATGAGCTCTTTGAACAAAAGGGTAGCATTGCAGAAGCTGTATTGGAGGAACTTGAGAAGGTATATATCAATAACAATATTGCTTACTATTTAGAATTTAGTGCTTTTTATATTCTATGGGAATTACCAATAAAAACAATTTCTCTTGGAACTGCTGCATAAAAATACACATATATTTCAGCATTCAATTTCTATACTTGGTAATATTGAGTAGCTTCCCCTGACACCAATGTAGGTGTAGTGAAAGCCATTAGTTGTATTTGTTTTTTTTTTTTTAACAAATTATAACTAGTGCACAATAGATCCACCCTTTTTAGAAATGGTAGGCTCTTTTATTACATCAAAGAAAAATAGGAAGGAAGAAGCGAACTTCATTGATGGAACATACCTTTAATATCACATGGTTGTTCCAGAAAAATCAAATATATGGATCTCTTTTTTCATATATATAGACTGTATCTGTAGCATATGATTGAAACATAATATGATTATCCTATTCATGGGTGTCAAATTAAGGAATAAATCTCTGGAAAGCGAGAGTAAGTGTATAACTTGATTGAAAGTAAACCTGTGCAAAAGTGGGTGTAAAATCAAATATTGGATAGCATATCCAAATTTATACAGTTCAGTCAATGAGATAAGACGGGTTCAAAAGTTGGCCACTAAGGGTTTTTTGTAATCATTGGGTGATGTGAAACATGGACTCAAGAATTAATAATCACTCCTTCGCAAGTAGAGCCATATGGTTGCATCTAAAATCCTAGATTATGAAGTTGGTGACTTGAATCGTTGAGAACGACATTATATCATGACCATGTAAATTTTGCTTTAACTGGATGTATTGGAGTTATTTGAGAAGTATTCATTAGAAAAGAGAGGTCAAATTAATTAGGTTTCTTTTTCTGTCCTTTGTTTCTCAGATGTTCTAATACCAATCTTATATTCAGATCTCCTTGTGACTATTCTAAGATAGCACACTTCAAGGTTTTGATGCATTATATATTTTTATGTCATATGAATTTCAATGGGATTTTGATTTTTGAGTCGTTATTTATTGTTTTCTTCTTTGTCCTTTACATTCTAGTCCTTCCACAATTACTTTCTTTCATTCAACTGGTTCCTTGATTTGTAATTTCTGTTAAAATAGTATTAATTGTTGGGTTCTAATTCACCAAATGCCAATATAAATGCTCTTGTATTTTTTTTCTCTTTTTATTGTATTTTCCTCATTTCCCTTGCTGAATAATGATCAGGTCGTTCCATTCTTATGTCAATGTGCAAGTTAACTGAAGATGGACATTTTTCAACTAGCATCTCTAAAAAATCATATATGTTGAAACCATCACCAGGTGATGCGGGAATATGGATATAGCATAGAGCACATATTGATGGTTGATATTATACCTGATGCCTCAGTGCGTGAAGCCATGAACGAGATAAATGCAGGTAAGAAGTCTTTTTTCCTTACTTTCTTATGAAATAAGATGTCTAAAAAATGACAAGGGTTGTATTTCTTTTCTGATAGGAAACAGTAAGGTATTGATGTTCCTAGCAGTGTTCTCAAACTGTTGTTGTCCTGCATAGTCAGACCATTGAACCTGTTACCCAGAGAAGAAACTGGTTTCATTTAACAGAAAACCTGTCAAAAGTCTAAAACCAGTAGACTTGGTCAACAAACCATTGGCTTAGATGGCATTTGACATGTTCTATGGGTTACAGTTCCTACTATTTTGTAATTTTCACTTCATTTTGCAATTTATAATAACTTTAACCAGTCAAAAACACTTTTAGCTGGGCAATAATCCAGCAAGAGAGAGAGAGAGAGAGAGAGAGAGAGAGACTTCTCTGCTAAGAAGCTTCTCAAAAAATAATAATAATAATAACATGAAAGACAAATCTGTAGTATGTTCCAGTTTGCTGTATTCATTTATATCTATACATTGCAATTCATCATTAAGGGGTACTACCAAACTTGGACCCTCTTCCAATATTCCACGCATTAGTATTCACTATAAGTTAGTAGTAGTAGTTCTAGTGCAGGTCTGAGATACTGAGATTTAAGTCCAGTTGACATTCACAATCATGGAGAACATCCTGCCCTTTGGCTGTTCTTATTGCTTTTAGAATTTTACATTTCATTTTTCCCTTTCTGGCCGTTGTGATCTTTCCATTGAATTACCCAGATCTTTCCATATAACTAAGATGCCACCACTACGTGTTGCAGCTCAAAGGCTTCAGCTTGCTAGCGTCTACAAAGGGGAGGCAGAAAAGGTGCTCCAAGTGAAGAGAGCTGAGGCAGATGCAGAGACTAAGTACCTTGGAGGGGTTGGGGTGGCTCGGCAGCGGCAAGCTATTACGGAAGGACTGAGAGACAACATTTTGAACTTCTCTCACATGGTGGAGGGCACATCAGCAAGGGAGGTGATGGATCTTATCATGATAACACAGTATTTTGACACGATCAAAGAACTTGGGAACTCATCAAAGAACACTACTGTGTTCATACCACATGGCCCTGGTCATGTCAGGGACATCGGGGACCAGATACGCAATGGGCTGATGGAAGCAGCTAGTTCCAGTGTCCAATGATTTTGATTGCTCTATCAGCTTCCTATTATGCCGTTCTAACATTTTCACTTGCCACTTGCACCATTTCTGGTTGTGAAGAAAATGAGAAAAAAGAATGTGAAAAAAAGAGAAAAAAAAGGAAAGAAAATAAAGGCTTTCTTTTAGGAGAAAGGGAGGCCACTTTTGCTTCCTCTATACTGTTTTCCTATGCCTTATCTACCATTTATAAGAGAAAATAAAAGAGATCAACATGAATTTACCTATGTCTTTGTTTTCCTTGTTAACCAAACTTAAAAAGACATTCTTTTCCTTTCATTTTCTTAGCAACCAAATTCAAGTGTCTTTTGAGTTCATGTGCATATGACTCCAGTCAGTGTGAGCCTGTCTTACACTGCCAGACCCAAGCTTGGATAAAAGGAAGGTTGTGTCAAGTTGGCAGCTATCCTTAAACAAAGTAAGGGGTAGTGCAAGTGTGCAACTGCAACCCATGCATCCACACTCAAAATCCTTTCACACAATAAGCTTTCGAAACAGCCAAGGTCTCATGCTCTCCACACGACAAATGTTCATTACTTCAGATGCCAATTGGCTTCAAAGTGTGAACTACTGAAACACATTTTGGAATGGTTAAATAATGATAAAAAGAACTACAAGTATTAATATATATTATAATTACCATGAAATTAATATAATTATGCTAATATTTATAAATTTTAATAATCATTTTTTTTTTTTAAGTTTTCACATGGTCTAAGAAAAGAAAATATCTAAAAATAAAATTTAAAGCCCATGCAAATATGACAACAAAGTGAGCAACTTAAGAATAGGATTCGAATCTTCTCACTTGCAATTTTTATACCATAAAATCTACGGGGTTGATTAGAAGACCAAATTTAATAGCATTTGATAGGGGTTAATAATGGCAAGTTAATGACATGAGTAATGCCGAATTTGAATTTCAATAGATAAATTAATGAAAGAGGACAAAGGCTTAAATCAAAGTGTTTTGGCCTGTCATAGGTCTATATTATGCAGATGTGGATTGATACTGTGAGTGTATCAGCCAATACCATGGATACAGGTGGAATGGAACAGAGTTTCAGCCATTCCATCTGTGTTGTGTGTCTGTAATCTCAAAAGCTGATTTGTATCAGCACATATTAGCTGATCCATATCCATACTTTAAACCTTGGTTCCAAAATAGCACATTACAATCCAGAAAATTAGAGTAAATAATGTCTTAATCTCGACGGTATTTCCTCATCAAAATAGGGCATATCTTATAACATTGGAAAGCTTTTCTAGTTTTTTATGCAATAAATAGTTTGTCAATTAATCTTCTAAAAATAATTATAAGTAAAATACTCACGACTAATGAAATTACCTGCTACATCCAAATTCTCTAGAAGTGAAATAAAATTCCCAAGGATCAAGTTCAAAATTAGTGTAACTCCAACTCAAGATGTTCTTCGTGAAGAAGTTAATGAGTTTAAGCAAAACTACGAAAACCTATATAATGCATGATGAAAGAAATCTTACAAAAACTTCCTAAACAAGCTTTCACAAGCAACCATACAATTCCAATTTTGAACATGGAGCAAGCCTTTAAAGATTGTAATGACAATATTATGTAACCATTCTCATCAACAATATTTATTGATAAAGAGTATATTGATTGATATAATCCTTCAATATTTGATAAAGAATTGCATATGAAGAATTTCCTATCCTACATAAAGAAAACAAATCCCAATTTTTAAATGTCTGGTTTTAGACAACAAAACATGTATAAAAATATATGGATTTCTTTTTCTAATTGGAACACTTTGGTTGGCTTTTCATCAAAATCATCTGTTACTATTGCGTTGAATTTTATGATCACTTTCTTGGGAGATTTTACTTCTTAAGTTCAAGCTAGTACAACTATAACCTTGGTTTACAACAAAACCTCAGTTTACAATGAGGTTTACAATAGTAATTACATACAGCACTTGGCTTCTACTTGGTTCTCCAAACAGTTGAGTCTAATAAATGATCAACCTATAAATTTCATTCATATGATAAGATGCCTACAGAGTACAGACTGTAAGAAGAGATGAAATGAACATAGACTACATCCTTCATGGATTTAATTTAATTCTGCAATTGCTTGATGCTAAATTTGATATTTTACTTTTGGTTCCAAATGCAAAGGAGACCTTCAATCTATGCAGAGAAACTGATGGTAAGCCAGGAAACCAAAATTTCCAATTTAGCAATAACAATCAACCCACAGAAATTACAAGGCAAGAAATGGTCTCCACAATCTATGGAGTACTGGAGTATTATTGATATGGGTTAGAATTAACCTAAATGATCTTGGAAAATTACTTCTGCTTTCTCAATACCTTTCTCAGGGCTTGGGTTAAGATCCAATTTTTGAAATTCGAGGTTCCTTTGGTGACACATTGACCAAACCTTCTGCCTTCCTCTTCTTGGTTTCACCAACCAGCCTCTTTATATATGCAATGTAACCATCCACATCAAATTTCCTTTTGCAGCCAGCATAGTTCATATAACGTATTTTACCAAAAACAGGTCGCTCTTTCCAACCCTGAACGGTTTGTTGAGAAGATTTCAGTGTAGGTTTTAGGCAGATCATGAACACCACATATCCACTGTATACAGGACTAGACTAGAAAAACCAGACATGGAATTAGAAATTAGATAAGGGTGAAAAATTTTAACCTGGTCATGAACACCGCATATGGACCACATACAACCAACATACCCATTCGGATCCCTCCCATCTATTTCATACTGGAAACAAAATTTGCATTGGTCAAATTAGACACAGCACAAGTAGAGGAACACCTGAAGAAGTGTTTCAAAGGCATAAGGAGAAATACCTTGTCATTCAGATATATTGCTATTGATAGGGCTTCTTCTGGTCCATGTGTCCATTCAAGAATCTTTTTTGCCCAATACATCCTGCTTGATACCCTCAAATCCATAAGCATGAAAGCATAAACAGAAATGCATATAGAAGAAACAAAACCACTTGATTAAAAAATGATGGAAAACTCCAAACTGTCCATGTATTTCATGACCATTTTCTACATTGTTAGATGACATACAAGGTAATTGAAGCCTAATTTGATTTTCCTATAGAAGCATGATCTGAACCAATCAGCATCTTACCTAAGTTGAAACATGTCATGGAACAGCCGAACAGGGCCAAAAACCATTGTTTTTAGAGGTTGAAAGGGGGGAACCGTGACATTGAGGGGCAGAAATATACAACTAAACTAAATACAAATGCATCATATTCATCAAACTCAGCTAAGCCAAGGAGAGTTGTTGCATGACAAGCTAATACTGAAAAGTAGTTTTTTTTGTACTTTATTTATGAGAAACAAAGATAACAAGAGCTACATGTTGTTGAAGTGAAGCCAAGCAGAGTTCTCCAGGACTGTAGTAACCTTATCCAAATTTGCCAAAAGAAACCTATCTAAATCACGTCATTCACTGGATGGACTACATATCATGGATGGACTACACCATTCACAATTTCCAAAAGTCTAGGAAAAGGATATGAGTATCCCATCTAATATGACACCATGCTTAATTTCTTTCAGGCTAAATTTCGTTTTTTAGAATTTAAATCATGGAAAGTTTATTGGAAACACTCACCTCCTTAAAGTAAGATTTTATTAGAGTACGGAGTTTAGCTAAGGAAACAGAGAACAATTCTTAGAAACAAGAGAAATACTAGTGGTACAACGGCAAACGAGAGAACTGCACTGTAGAAGGGTCTATGCAGTATCTAATACCAAAGCCAGCATACAGGTAACCTAAGCATGTTGAACTATGTGGCCATAATAGACTTCCTAAGAAATGAAAAATACAAAGACAGGATGAAAAATATGGAGCTATTAAGAAATTACCGCATGAAGCCATGCATCTTCCCATAATGAACCATCTCCAACTGAGATGCATTCCAGAGCTGAACAATGCAGTTAATAGGAGTCATCAGAAGTAATAAGTAAACAAACAAAAATGGTAGAAAGTCAAAGATTTGGTTGGCGAGTACAAAATCTAACCCAAGTTAAAGCTAAACTTCTAAATTTTAAGAAAAGAAGTTTACATGGTTGTTGAGGCACTAAATTGAGGCTTGGCAACAGGAAATTACCTTGTTGCCCAGTTGATCGCTTTTTTACATAAAAGGTTGGATGATTTTTGCTTGTTTTCCCTTTTTTTATGAACTAACTTATTTTTCTAGGTAGTGTGGCAACTAGGAAACATTAAAAGTGACCTAACATCAAAGACCAAATATTATAAGTAAAATTATAACAGAATTACATAGCCTATTAAAGAAACTAGGGGATGGAGCCCTATTCTGTAACTGCAAGGAGATACTAAGAGAATGCATACATGTGTGTTAAATCAAAGAATAGAAGCAAAGAAACAAATGAATGAACTGAAGCCTTGTTATGTTGAATGCGTCATAGATAAAAACGAGATAATATGTGAGTGCAATAAGGGGTAAAGCCCCATTTCATAAAGAGAGATGCTGCTTTACTTTGCTTGAGGAAATAGATGAGGATCCCTCTTATGAAGAGTACATGAAGGCCACTGGTTGAAACCCTGTTATGATTCAAAAAATTGTCTAGTAACCCCTATACCCATTTTATAGCTCTCTAAAATAATATTTGTTTTTTTTATGATGCCCTTTCACACTCTTTTGCCTTGATTATACAATATGAAATGGTTTATCTGTGCCACAACTAAAATTGTTATACCTCCACATAAGAACATCAAAACGAGGTACAAGGTATTCTGAATTCTGAAAACAAATTCCTTATTGCCAATGTGTCACCTTGACAACAATGAAGGTTACTGATGTAGGACCAGCTCAATTCCAGTCCTTCATGAATGCTGAATAATCTTCCTTAGAAATTTGTGGTTATGGATGGCTATAATGGCCTCTTGAACAAATAAGAAAGGAGAGAGAGAGAGAGAGAGAGAGAGAGAGAGCACCCAGAGTCACACACAAGGTGCCTAGAATACTCTAGGGTATGGGAAATCCTATTTCAATTCAAAGAAGACTCGATAACTCTTATTCTACCTATGCAATGACTCTAAAACTTTAAACATAACAAACTATAACTAGACAAATCAGATCGTATCATTGGAAACCACAAAAAAATTGTAACATCATTTTGGTTTCAGAGCTAATGTTTATTCACTATGTTCTCACAAAGTGACTGATTCTATAGGGCTAGGCTATTTTCTAAACAATCTTGTGGGTCTAGAATCAATGATGACTGGGTTTTTAAACCATATGAAGGGTCTCTAGTCGACTTATTTGAGAAGATTGTGGAAGAAAACTGATTTAATAATGTTGACCACAGGAGTGCGGTTTTCAAAAATGGTAGAAGAGAAAAAGAAATGCTAGATTTCAAAGGGGATGATGGCCCAAAATTATTATTTGATTGAGTTGTTGAATTAGAAGAATATTTTGATTGGCATGATATGTTTGACAAACGATTAGATTTGCATGCATGTAGCTCACAGGTCATGCATGCTAAAGTATAGTGGAGAACTCTTGAGCAGTGACTAGAAAACAGAGGTGATGATCCTATTGCTATGTGAGTAGAGAGGAAGAGGTGTTTGCTAGAAAAGTACATTCCACTAGACTTCCATGATGATCTATATATGGAGTTAACTAATCTCAAGCAAGGTTTGCTATCTGTAGACTGTAGTTCAATATACAAATAATTTTGATGAATTATTATTAGATGCGACACTAAGTGAAAGGCATGAATTATCTTGTTTGAAGAATGGACTAGGTGCTGAAATCTAGAAGGAATTGTCTACAATTCAAATTAATGACTTAGATCATGCTTTTGAGTTGGCTCACAAGATAGAGAAGAAACAACAGGTTACAACAAATAATTTGAATCTAATGGGAAGAAGGTATGAAGTTGAAGATACAACAGATGATTCCTTGCATGTCGATTCCTATCCTAGAGCTAAAGTTGAGAATGAAGCTAAAGAACCAGAATTTCAACCTATAGAAGTTGTAGACATTGAAGGTCAAGAGGGCATGGGAATCAGTCACCATAATTAGCATACCACTCAAAAAAAAATCAATAAATTTCATTGATCCTTGTGTAAATCGTTCATATATATATATATATATATATAGAGAGAGAGAGAGAGAGAGAGAGAGAGAGAGAGAGAGAGACTGTAGACCCATAAGAATCCTAGGACTCAAAAACAAAAGTCTACCATCCAATTTCAATTCAAAGAAGACTAAATAGCTCTTATTCTACTCATGCAATGACTCTGAAACTTTAGACATGAACAAATTATAACTAGAGAAATCAGACCATATCATTGGACTCCAATAGAAAATTATAAAATGACAAAAATAACCCTACTATCCAAAAATACAGAAATACATAAAATTTCAGAAAATTCCAATTTTTGACTGTTCATCTCCTGCATCAGTTTAAGAATACGAGAATTTAACTTGAACAAATCTTGAAGAGAATAAACAATTCTATGCACAAACAATTTTTAGAAGTGATCAACTTACAGGATCAGCAGTTTTTGCCGTTTCCAATTGCTCCTTCCTGTGAATATCATGAGTATTTCAAAGTATTGATCAGGTAACTTGGCAAAAACAACTAGTCAATGCTAACATGATCATTTCAATCTACATACTCCAACTCCACATGATGACATTTGACTCACGTATAAATATGCTCTCTCTTATCAGGAGCATGGTCCATCAATGTTTTACGGGCCCATTCCCATGCACCCTGTAATGAGTCATAGTGAGGCTGATAAAAGCAAAAGTTATCAGCAAGTTCCCTTCGCACAATCAACTCCTCCAGGAATGCATCGACTGACTTCATGAGAATGGGTACATGCAGATAAACCAATACTTATCAGAACTCTGTATGAAAAAACAAACTTGATAAGGAAAGAATAACAAAGTAACAAATTCTATTTAAATAAACTGCAGCCAGTTGAGGAGGGTTACTTTAATTTATTTGATCCATATTTCCGAAAAAAAAATCAATATCAAAAGATGCAAAATACTGCCAAAATCCAACACCACAAACCTGTGGATGGAGTTTCCGGATAGAACGTGCTTCCAAGGCACATCTCTGTGCGGATATTTGCCCAAAATGCAAGTAAGGAGAGAGGCCAGATAGTCCTTTCGGTTTTAAAGGGTTATTCCTATCAGTAGAATAGTTCTTCAACCTATTCGACAAGAACCCATCTTTGCTTCCCAGTAACACTTCCAATGCAGCATTTTCTCCTGGTTCGCACCATTCCAATTCCGGAACTTCTACCCCTTTTCTGGTCACAATAGATTATTCTACATTTAAAACATAATCTGATAAAAAAAAAGTAAAGCACAACCAAATAAATTGTATAAGCTTAGTGTAATAACCAACCTCAAAACATCAGTGATGAGGTTTTCCCAATCGACAACCTCATTTGTGGTAGCCCATTGTCTGTTTGGGGATGGAAGCTTGGGAAAATCAACGAGATACTCAGGAAGCAGTTTATGAATCTTTCCCCTTATGGTCTTTGCACTATATTCCAGTTTCTGTGATGCTATCCAAACGGGTATTACATTGTGAGCATCGACTTCGTGCACAGTTACCGAATCGTTCACCCTCTTACAGATTTCCTCCTTCCATCCTCGAACTTCCCGAAGTGGCGAGAAGTCCGTCACCAAAAGTGAAGCCCCACATTCTTTCAGAAAATGGGGAATGGTTTCTATGGCTTCTCCCTAAGTGAACAAATGGAAAAATGCAAGTAAATTGAAATGTTTAACAAACCGGAGTATAAGAGAGTATAAAGATACTAAGTTTGCCTGAAACAAGAAAAATGGGATTCCGAAGGTTTCGTCGAGATTGCGTTGGAGCTGTTGCAGACCCCTCAACATGAACCCGAGGTGCCGAGCTTTGGCGCCTTTGAACTGATCGAACAGGTTGAAAGCGACGACGACCGGGACGTTAGCTTTGTTGGCTTGATCGACGGCATGGATTAATGCCCAATTGTCTCTGGAGCGTTGATCCCTGAACATCCAGTAGACAACGGGACCCATCTTCTGTTTAGACGGTTTGGTTACTTCTTTGAGTACTCGGATCCTACCTGATTGGACAGTAGTTGCTTCTTCCATTTTCAGTGATGACGAGATCATGGAAGAGCAGCGAAGAAGAGCAAATGAAAAACCAGTAGCGTGGTTGTTGTGTAGAGGATTCACAGTGTACAGATCTCTCAATCTCAGACGCATACAAATGCGGCGAAGATAGAACGAGTTGTTAAATTGCGCACCGGGCGCAGATGTGCCACGAAGCTAATTTGAGATGGAATTATGGAAATCATGGAATATCTACTTCAACCCCAGAGAGAAGCTGAAGGAGGGAGAGGGAAGTCTGAAACTAATAACTTGCGGTTTGAAAAGGTTACACGTCGACCGTTGCGCCTTTCCTGTTTTTACTGTGCACGAGCTCACCAGCTTCGCTTGCGACCGTCCGGAGGCCCGAGATGTGTTTTGTGTTGCCCGGCCCAACATTTAAAATTTCATCACATATCGGTTGATACATAATTTCATATCATATTGGCGGGTCATTTATACATAAAATATAGGTGTTTTCAAGGTTTTTAAAATTGATCCGGATAATAAATCGGTTAGGGGTCCGTTTTTCGGGTCGAATGGTCCGACCGTTCAAACCAAATGGTCGACCTGTTCTGACAAAAAATATAAAAATAAAATAAAAAATGGTCAGAACTGTTGAATGGTTCGGACGATTTAACCACCCAGGTCAGCGGTTCGTTAACCAAATCAATGTTTTTTTTGGCAAAAATCTGGTTTTGGTGAAAAATGGAACCAATCACCTGATCAGTTTCCGATTTTTTTTATCCGACCATCCGGTCCGATCCGATTTTGAAAACCATGGATATTTTCATGAAAATTGATATGAAAAAAGCTTACATTCGATTATAATGGGAGTTTATTGACAAAAGTTTTCATGAAAAATGGTTCTCCCATAAGGGTTTTCTATCTCTCTAGGGGGATCCCGATTGTCATATTAAGAACTAAGGCCTTTAGAAATGGTCTAATTAACCCTATTCTTCAATTACGCACATGATTGCCTAATTCTTGCCAAGACCACTATCCCAGCTTGTTTAATTATCAGAGAAACTTTAGATAGTTTTGCAAAAGTCTCTGGGTAATGTCTGAATTTTTCAAAGTTGGTGTAAATATCCCTCATAAATTTCAGAAAATCTTGGTAAAATTATTGAGAATTTCCATTAACACAAATTCTATTACTTATTTAGGGGTTTCGATCATTAACGATAGGGTTACAAAGGAAACTTTCTGCAGCTTGTAGAAAAAATTAACACTAAGCTGACTAGATGATAGATGAAAAGGAAAAAAAAAACACTTTCTCCTTTGCAGGGAGACTAACCCTCCAAAATGCAACAACTTGAACTTGTATGATTCCTCAATTCATCATGAGAACTTTTAAAATCCCAAATAATGTCGTTGATGATAGGTTAATGAAGCAAATTTATCTAAATTGGGGTGAAAAATTTTAAATGACGAAGAGAACTTCTAGGTCAAAATTATTAAACAAAAATACATGGCCAACAAGAATTTGTGAAATGCTAGAGTTGAAAAGGTCATTTCATGGGCTTGACAGGGAATTCTATTGGCTAGGGAAACCATCAAGATGGTGCTTGATGGATAGTGGCTAGTGGGTGATGGAAAGTCAAATGATTTTTGGTATATATGATATATGGGTCGGGGATTTCCTCCTTGCTGATGAAGTGAACCGTGATAGAATTACTAACTCGAATCAGGTTGTTGGAGGTTTTATTCACCAACAAAGAAAAGTTTGGCGTGAAAAAACAATCAAATCTATATTTATCCCCTCCAGAGGTAAAAAGACAAATTGATTTAGAGGCTCAATGCAAATGGGAAATTTACTACAAAATCTGCTTATAGAAGTGGTCTAAAGTGTGGAGGCTTGATTGCAACCTAAAGTCAAAGTTTTTACTTTTTCTCCTTAATAATAGACTTCCTAGTAAGGATTTATTAATTGGGAGAGGCATTGACATTGATACATCTTTTAGTATATGTTTGGTATCTGATGAGGGCAGATTTGTTCCTCCAGTGAAGTTGCGACACGTGGCACCTCGTGACAACTAGGCAAGCCCCCAGGCAACAACTTATCAAGTTGGTCCCCCCTGGGCACCGGTCTGGCTGGCCTGGCGCGACCTGGCATGACCTGGCGCGGCCTGCGCGCGAACTGCGCGCG